CGGAGAGCAACCGATCGATCGTTCCATTGTAATTTGCCGATTACTGGAACGATAACGGTGATATCCGGACCGGAACCGATCGCACACGCTCATTATCGACAGACGTTTTCGCACGTAGCCATCGTTATTGGACTTCGAATCGTTTTCGATCGAGAATTTCATCTATTTTCGTGAATTCTGAAGACTGCAGGTAATTTTTGAACTACTATGTTTATACCTGACGGTGAAATTTTCGAAAAAGAAAATGTTTTCGACTAAGTTTATACTTGAGAGCGAAATTTTCGATGAAAATCGTCTCGCAATGTTTCATCAAATTAAAATCTTCGATTTCTATCGAAGATTAACGAACACTCCGTGGATAAGACAGAAAAGCGTGAATAGATGAATTTGATCCATCATATTTGAGAGAGGCAATCTTGTCGACGTGAGAAGGGATTCACAAGCTGATAAGAAGCTAGTGTTGCTCGCTTATTCTATTAAAGACTTATTCGACACTTCGAGTCGTTCAATCGTGGTTAGTAAAAAGTATATTTATATTTATATTTATATTGCTAATTACTTTGTCACTTATTTGACTAATAACTTTGTCACTTATCTGATCATTTTATGTATCCACTCTTTATAAAAATAATTGAATATCTTCATGATAATGACAATGCTTGTTAACGCTTGACGTGTAAATTAGCGAGATCGACGCGAGGACAACGCCGAATAAGGCAACATATGTAGAAGTTAACGACGAAGAAACGGGACACGCGAGACTGCGAACATCTCTCTCTCTCTCTCTCTCTCTCTCTCTCTCTCGCCCTTTCACTTCTTTATATTCCGGCGTGATGTTCGGTAGAGGAACGTCTAGTTATGAAATAAAACAGCGTGGCATTACACGGGTACCCGTATTACAGAGGCGCAAGGTGGCGCAATAACTCTGGCGACTTTTACGCGGCGACTGTTGATTTACGGCGGCTTCGCGACCTGCCTTAATAGAAGAACACAAGGCAACCTACAAGCGTGCGCTGCCACCTTTACCTTCTTTAACAGCCCGTGAATCTCCCCTTCCGTCGACAACATTCTCTGCAATTGTTTCCCTCGAAACAGATCGGCCGATTTCCTCTCTGTTCACTCAGGTGTCTCTGTCTCATCGTCCATTAGAGGATATTTGGATATGCGAAGTGTCTCGTTAAAACTTCTAAGACTTCTACATACAATTGAAATTTCTCCCTCGAAAGTACGTACGTGTCGTTCAACAATTTGAATTGAAGTTTTTAATAAATATTGAACGTTTAGTTCCTTCTACTCGGACTCTCAAAGAGAGTCTCAAAGAATCTAATTGAAAAATTTCCTTCTCGAACTTGAATGGTTTGCATTCGGTAAATCAACACACTACGATGCAAAGCAGAATACTTGTTATAATAAACGATGCGAAATTCTGATTTCATTTCTTTGGTTCCAACATCCAAATCTTCGTAAAAGTTAAATTAATAAAAACTACAATCAATGTAAACAATACAATTACTCAAGAAATTGTTGTAATCTCGTGAAAAAAAAGTCATGCATCTACTTACTTAATTAGATCTAGTTTGATAATTCTGAGTTCGTTTTTACATCATGCAGCGGGCGAAGAAACAAAAGTGCTTCTGTTCGTCGTAACGTCTTTAAAATCACTCGAAGTTTTTTTCATGACCAGATCCACCGTGATCTCCAACATCGAAATTTTCTCTGTACGAGTCCTTAAAATTCTTTCCTCCGTTTTTTTATCGAACTTTGAACGATCAAAACGACAAAAACTCAAGAAATCCTAACTTTTGGTACATCTTTCGCTATTGATAAATTTCCATCGAATATACGAACAATTTTGCGAATGAACTCTATGACTCTACTCTCTAATCGATCATTTCAGTAACGAAAACGAAATTTAATTTTAATACTGATTGATTTCTAAGCCCTTGTTGTGTAACAAGCTAGTTTCTAATGTAATTCATTGTCAGTAGAACAAGCGTGTCTATAACGCGACGTTGCAGTGAAAACTGACGTCGTTATCCTAGGCCGTTACTACTAATAGTCGAAGCTATTTCTAATCGATGGATCCATCAGCAGAATCGTTCCGCGCCATTGGTGTTCACGGTTCAAACTATCCTCCCTTCCTTTTATTGCGTTCGTTCTTCACTTCTCTCATCTATATGTGTAATAACTCCATTACCAGTCCGAGATTCTGTCGTTTTAACGTCTCATTTCTATTCTCGAGCTACCGTTTTCTTACACCCGGTGTCCAGATTATCACGGAAGTGTCGTTCCTTATCGCTTATTCGTAAAATCAGTTCAAGGAACCTTCCGCGTGTTACGCGTCTCGAGATGTTGAAATTCGTCTTCTGTTCTTTGGTCGAGAGACGACACGAGGAATCGAGCGTCAAGCAGCGTTGAATGGTTGCGGATGGACGATGTCTTTCTTGGTGAGAACAGGTGACTGTATTAATTTATAGTTAAGTTTGAGTTACATTATTTGACGCTTTGTACCGCCACTAAGACGACATTAACTCGTTGATATTGATTTATATATATATGTTTCACCGATCAGTTATATCTTTAGGAAATATCACCTGCGTTATCTACTTGTTAAAATTTATGATAAAACCTCATTTATATGTATATATATGTATACGTATTATTTAAAATTATAGGACACATTGTACACGTTGAAAATATACCTACAAGATATATTTACTATCAGAAGTACTATTTAATTGAACGTACATAATATATTGATATCTTTTTATTTAATCGTCAAGAGTGACCACGAAGACTTTCAAAATTATTTTAAATGATCTTGAAAATTAGTATGAAGTATGAAGACTTTAGTGACAAACAGAATTATTCTTCTATACGTCACAAATTCTTCGTACGAACGAATCTTTCTACGTGAAACAAAATTTCTTTCCGGTTGCCTCGATTTCGAAATAAGCAGGCAGAACGCTTTGAAACTTAGAATCGAACCGCCTTTTCTCTATTAACGAAGCGAGCCATCACTCTCAGGAGAAAGAAAGAAAAAGAACTGAACCGGAAGCAACCAGAGATCGTTTGCGTCGAAATGATTCTGTTTCATCCCCGTGCGAGAGTTTCCCGAGTTTCCTGAGGATTTACAGCAGCCGACCGCGCAAGAACACACGAGGGAGCCATCGATTCACCCGAAAACCGTTCGTTTCTTTCTTTCGCGCCTTCACGTTCGTTGCCAGCCTCGTTCTCCGTGTAATATTAACATATTAAGATATTACCAGGTAATATATATACCTCTATGGTCCAACTTTCAAGTCACCTACCAATATATCGATATTTTTTTTTCTTTTTTTATTAAACAATTTAATTCTTATAACGTCTCCTTAGTAACCAGTGACATTTTTTTTGTAACAATTAATTTAAAAAGGAATGAGTGACTCGTTATGTTTAACAAGCAGTGAAACTTACTTTGACGGAAGTTCCGTCACAACGACGTCTGTAGAACGTTGACGGGAGAGTAAATAGCGCGAGTTCGCGACCCGAGAAGGTAAACGGAGCTTTCAAGAAAGACAAGTTTTTCGTTAAAGTGGCGATCGCGGTCACGTGCTTCAAGGTGCATTACGAGCATTTCACGACATCCTGCGAAAGAGTTCGCCCTCGAAGAGGCCATTTTCGCTTTGTCTTTCGCTCCGCGTATTTGTTTAATTACAAAGTAAGCCTCGATGTGAAGCCCGAGGTGGTCATTTCCAATTAAAATGTACAATTTGTAGAATACGTTGGCCAGAACCAACTGTCCCGGTGAATATTCGAGAGCATGCGAGCACGTTGTTTCAACACGTTGACCGCTACGATGGTCACTGGCGACCGTCGTTTCTATTCCTGTTCATATTTTAGAATAATTAAAATGAGACGAATATTCTTGGCTCTTGAGTGACTTTTAAATGTCGTAACTAGATGATATTATAAAACGAAAAGTGCATTTTCGTTGTACTTTTATGTTTTATCAACAATATGTAAGGTGGCCATTGAAAAACTGAAGGGTTTAAAAAAAGTCATAACTTATTCATTTTCAATCTTTTTCATTTTCTTTTTTTTCACGCACAATACTGAAAAAAGTCCATTAATTATGTTTCCAAACAAAATAATAAAAAATTAGAAAAAAAAAACATGTGTTTGTACTTTTGTGTAATTCAGTCTTTCAGTGGCAACTCTATATATATACATATTATATATTTGTCCTCTAATACATATTATCACATATAAATATCATAAATATTTTGTCTTGCAGTGCTGCGTGTTAAATATATTGGAATCGCCAAAACGTAACTGCGTTTTTTTTTCCTAACAGATGAGCATGAACGTGTATCTTGAAACGTAGCTAACTTCACTTTAAACTGCTTTAAAATCCACTGCATAACGTAGTACCTGTTCAAGTGTGTTTTAGGGATCGTTTGTTTGGCAACGATTTCAAAATGCAAGATCGAAAAGAAACATTTTTCAATACTACACTTCCGAAAATGAAAAACATTTTTCCTGTGCAAGTTGAATAAAAAATTATCTGATGTGTACGATGAAGAAGCCTTCACTCAATCATGGAAGATAGTGTCAGAATTGATTTGTTCTAATTGTAACTACCAATGAGACGATATCAAATCTTTTTTTTTTTTTTTTTGTCAAAGAAGATAAGAATCTTCTTGAATCATGATGAATTCATTAATAAAGTTTTTGTTTCTCACGAAAAATTCGTCTTTCATTGCCACAATGTGAAAGCGAGGAAGCGCAATTACTTTTTGGCGTGACAAATCGACCTAATCTCAATTTAACTTGATAATATCAACGATACACAATTAAACGCTTATTATGGAAAATTTTCACGAGTACACGCGTTGCATGAAACTTCGTGACATTTCATTAACGATGTAACGCGAGACGATTGTCTGAGTTGATTGATTCCAGCGGCGAAGCTTACAAGTTTGCAATACGTTAATACAAAGAGTCGTTTTATTCTCCATTTTTCCAAGATAAATTGGAAGAAACGTTGCAGCATTTATATAAACTAAACGAATACTTAAATATCGTTTCAACTCGTCCTCATAATGAAAAAGCAACCGTGTGACAGAATTTCCACCACCCATCGCGAGAAAGCATCTTCAATATCTGTTCGCGACAGAGTTCTTCTGCGTTCCAACAAACAGACTGGCAAAGCATCAAAGCGATTCGTTTCTTACCTTGCGTGTCCCGTTCCTTTTTCTTGCGACGCAGCCTCCTCTTTTGCACCTTCTCCGTGTAATTAGACGACGAGGAATCGTCGCAGCCCGTCACTTCCTGTCTCTCCGCCATCTTCCTCGCCTGCTCCTGCCGTCTCTTCAGCAGCTCGTACACTCTCTTGAAATAATCCCTGGCGATGTCCTCGTTCGATTTGTTCGTCAACAGGCCTCCGTGGTGTTGGCTCGGACAGTCGAAACGATCGACAGACTCGCCATTGTGGTTCTCGTTCGAATCTTCGCTTCGCACCTCGGTATCTTCTTCCAAGGAAGCGAGCTCCTCGCTGCCGTCCACGATCTTGAACGTGTCGCTCTTCTTCACGTTCGACCGTGCATACAGTTCCTTGTAATCGTTGAACGTCTTCTTAGGAATCGTGCTGTAACCGCAGTCCGGAGAGTTCACGTTGGTTTCGTGACTGTTTGCTTGAGCCTTCGTAGCGTTGGTCTTCTTGTCCACGACCAGGTAGTTCTCCTGTAAACTGGTGCTCGGTCTCTCGTTGCCGGAGTCGTTCGAAGTTCTGGAAACGCACGAACCTCGACTCCCGTCCGCCAAACTCGGCCGATTCTCTGGGCTGATTCTTTGCTTCTGGTTCAACGAAGAAGGGTTCACGCAGTTCTGCAGATTCTGACAGATTCGGCAGTTGCTGTTGGCGGAGCACAGAGCTGTTTGAAGATCCTTCCACCGCGGCTTGCTCATAAAGTCCTCTTCCTTCACCTCGGACTCGCGATGCAGCCTCTCGTGCTTCTTCCTCTCCTTGTACTCGCGCCAGGACTCGTCGACGGTGTCCTGGCTCCTGGCGCGCCTCGGGGGCTTCTCCTGCTCCGAGTTCAGGCTGCCGGTCATCTGGCCCAGCAGCACGTCGCTCTTGGTTTTTCGATAGAATTTCCGTTTCTCCGCGGGCTGCCGCGTTTCGGCCCACTGTCGGCCACTGCGATTCGTCGCAGTCGTTTCCGCGGCCTCGAGGATCGTCTCGCTCCTGGAACGGCGGCGTGCTTTTTGCCCGAACGAATCCTTGGAACGCGACCTGCCCGCTCTCGAGCCTCTCTCCCTTTCGACTTGCCTTCCGCCGCCGCCGCCGCTCCCTTTCTGCCTGTCCTTCTGAAGAATCTCCGGATCGAACCTGATGATGCTCGTCTCGCTGCGCACCTTTCGAGTGCGATAACCTCGCGGATCCTCCGGCCGTCTGTAATCCGAGTACCTCTTCTGAATTCCGACGCCTGTGGCCCAAGCCGGTGGCATATTACACCGTTCCAACTCCATCCTCTCTTGAATTTTCGCCTTCAAGAACGACCTCACCCTTTCCAGCTCTTCGTTCCTGATCCGCGTGCAATTTTCAACGTTCGCGTCGTCCGCGACGGACTTTGTGGTTCCGTCGGAAGCGTCGCGCGACTCCGCGTTGTTCATGGAGGAATTGCCTCGCTCAGACTTCACGTGGTCGCCGCGCTCTCCTCTCTTTCTCTTCTCGTTCTTCTCTCTGATCGCCTCCCTCAGGCGAGCCAAACCTTCCTTGATCTTCTCGCTGCGAATCCGATCCTCGTGGTTCGTATCGACGCTCGGTCTCCAGTTCCTGTCAGACTCCTCTTCCTCCACGTGGACCAATCTCGGCAGCGTTTCGCTGCGACTCCTCAGGTAAGCCTTCACCTTCCTGCACCTCTCCCTCGCGACTTCCTCGGGACTTCTAGCCGCGTGACTCTCGTTCGTCAGATCGTCGATGATTTGCCGTCGCAGGTAATCTCCTACGGAGTACTTTCCTCTCCAGCTCGCTCTCTCCTCGCCTTCTCTCGAAGCTTCTCGCTCGGAGGAATGTCTGTTCCTCCTCCTCCTCTTCCTCTTCTCCTCCCGGTGCTCCTTCACCGTCACGTCGCTCTTTGATTTCCGCGGCTGGTAACCAAACCGAACCGTACCGAATTTCGTGCTGAACCCGTCCGCGTTCCTGTTCCCCGGCGCAGGGAACAACACGACCGTCGACGGCGTGGAGGAGGACGAGAAAGACGTGGAAACGGAAGGCTCACCACTTGTTGGGAACTCCTCGTGCGTCCTCAGGCCCTCGCGAAACGAGCCTCTGGCCCGCTGCGCTGTTCGGCCGGTCGTCTCCACCAGAAGCCGGCCATCCTTGTCCAACAGCTGAATGACAGGAAGCGCGTCCGCGGACGTGGTCAGCTCCCACTCCCAGTGAAGCGGCTTGTCCAGCCTCAGTCTGATGATCGGTTCCGCCGGTTCGCTCGAGGACGAGGAATCTGGCTCGACCAGGCACGACGGCGACGACGACGGCGCGGCTGTTATAATCGGGTGAGCGTTCTTCATGTTTCCGGTTCTCGCGCGCTCCCGTGCACACGCTCCGAGAGAGGCGGTTTTTCGTGTCTTGCGCGCCCTGGAGTTCGATCACCTCCCCCGGGGCCCCTCTTTAACGATCTCGGTCGCCTCGCTCTGCCCGGCTTGTAACACACACGTTCCTTTTTCTTTTTCTTTTTTTTTTTTTTTTTTTTTTTAAGACTACCGAGAGGAAAATTGTCGATCGTTGAGACACCTCTGTGTTTCGATTTTTATTTCTCGATAATTATGTATCGATTCAGGATTCGATTTTTTAAGACGGTCGTCTTGAATTTTGATTTCCTAGAGCAAGAGTTTTATCGTTATCAACGCGACTCTTGCATTTCGATTTTCTAGGACAATAGTTCTATCGATCAACGTGACTTTTGCATCTCGATGTTTCAAGGCGACAACTCTGTCGATAAACGTTTTACGTTTCAGTGTCTGTTTCGCGAAGACGTTTTCTCTTCTATATTTTTATTTTACAGCGAGACTTTATGGAGGGATCTGTATCGCCGTGGCCCGAAGCCGAGTATCAATATTGAGATATTCATTTAGATCGATACTTCCAGATTCCGCGCAAATATTTGCTTTCTCTCTCTCTCTCTCTCTCTCTCTCTCTCTCTCGCGTCGAAAGATATTTTCAAAACGAAACGAAGACGTTTTCGCGAAGCGTATGAATGTTTCCGCTCCGGAGTTCGAAACTTCGAGAATTGTTGCTTGTTCTTACGAACGAGCAGCACGGCAGTTTACAGATTCTTATAGAAACATTATTGGAAAATTAAACTTCCATCCGCATCTCACTTTGTTCCTCCTTTCACGCAAGAATTATCGAGGCGTTTCACTAGCTCTCGCTTTGTTCCTCACTTCACAATGTGTCCATTTTCGCTCGTTCCGTTTTAATTAAAAATTATTTCAACACCCGCGCCTCACTTCACGATGCTTCTTCTTCTTCCATTAAAATATTATTCAGCTGCCCGGCTCATAATCTTCTCGAAGATCATTTAAAACTCAGTTTTTTACAATGACTTCACGATGATACTTGTTTATTTTAATTAAAAATTATTTTAAAACCTTTTCTCACTTCGCTTCTCCTCTTGTTAAAATATTTTAAAACGCGAGACTCTTCTCGCTCTCTGACTTCTCGAAGATCATCTAAGAACCAAGCATGAGTCCGTTTACAACAACTTCACAATAATACCTTATATTCATTTAATTGAAAGTTACTTCAATAACTTGCAATTCTCCTCTTCACACGCGAGAACCACCAGTCGATCTGGAAATGAATCGAATCGTCGATCGGAAATCGTCGAAATATCTCTTCCACGGTGCACAGGAAACGCCGGCACGTGGCTGTTTACTTCACTTCCACTCCGATATTAATCAGCCGATATCGAATATCAAAGATCGCAGCACGGTTCTACATTTTGCCTGCTTCCTCCACGTTTCTATCTGTAGGTAGCGAGCAGCGTGATATCCGGCCCGATACGCGTGTCGATGAATTATTGTTCGACGGTGAATCGAACCGGGGGCCGAGGCGCTTCACGTCGCGCTTATGTAACGCTCATGCGACCTCAGACGCCTGGCAGCTTGTCAGAGAACCGAGAGAGTTCGACTTCGGGATGTTTCCGAAACGGCTTCATACCGTGGCACTCGCCACGTTCTCCCTTCTCGCCGTGTTTGCGTTTATTATTCACGTATCCGCGAGTACTCGCCCGCCGAAAGAGAACGGCAAGCTGCTGGCTTCTTCCCTCCTGAGAAACAGGAAACACGAGTTACACGTTTCCACAGGGGCGAATCCGTCTAAGAGGCACCTCTGTAGTTTCTAACGGGAAAACCCGATGGGAAAAAAATCAATGAACGTGGCCTATTATCTTGCATTTTTATGATATTAAGTATTAAGTAACATTTTAGAATATTTCAGTGACTATTGTCTTGTATTTTTATGATATTAAGTATTAAGTAACATTTTAGAATATTTCTCATAGGAAAATGTAACAGAGAAAGTGAATGAATGTTGGAAATTTTCAAAGACTGTTTCCAAAGACAATTTATATTTTTTTACGTTCATAATATTAAATGACACTTTACTTAATATTAAACAACACTTTAGTGATACTTAATATTAAATAATATTTTTAACGAGGAAAATGTAATAGAAAAAGTGAGTGAATGTTGAGAATCTCCAAAGACAATTTGCTAATAATATTAAATGGTACTTTATTTAATACTAAATAATACTTTTTATACTAATAATATTAAATGGTACTTTACTTAATACTAAATAACACTTTAGTAATATTTTACTTAATATTAAATAATATTTCTAAAAAATGTGATAGAAAAAGTGAATGAACCTGGTCTGTCGAATGTTCCCAAAGATTATTATCTTGTATCCTCATGATATAAAATGTTAAATAATATCTTAGAATATTTCTGATAGAAAAATGTAACAGAAAAAGTGAATGAGTGATGAGAATTTCCAAAGACTGTTTCCAAAGACAAATTTGTATTTTTATGTCAATAATATTAAATGATACTTTATTTAATATTAAATAACACTTTAGTAATACTTTGCTTAATATTAAATAATATTTCTAATAGGAAAATGTAACAGAAGAAGTGAATGAATGTTGGAAATTTCCAAAGACAACTTGCATTTTTATGCTAATAATATTAAATGGTACTTTATTTAGTACTAAATAACACTTTAGTAATACTTTACTTGATATTGAATAATATTTCTAAGGAGAATGTAACAGAATGTAATTCTATAGGAGAATGTAACAGAAAAAGTGAATGAATGTTGGAATTGCTTGCATTCTTATGCTAATAATATTAAATGGTACTTTATTTAGTACACTTTAGTAATACTTTACTTGATATTGAATAATATTTCTAGTAGGAAAATGTAACAGAAAAAGTGAATGAATGTTGGAAATTTCCAAAAATAACTTACATTTTTATGCTAATAATATTAAATGGATATTGAATAATATTTCTAATAGGAAAATGTGATAGAAAAAATGAATGAACCTGGTCTGTCGAATGTTCCCAAAGATTATTATCTTGTATCCTTATGATATAAAATATTAAACAATATTTTAGGATATTTCTGATAGGAAAATGTAACAGAAAAAGTGAATGAATGTTGGAAATTTTCAAAGACTGTTTCCAAAGACAATTTATATTTTATATTTTACGGTCATAATATTAAATGATACTTTACTTAATATTAAACAACACTTTAGTAATACTTAATATTAAATAATATTTCTAATGAGGAAAATGTAATAAAAAAAGTGAATGAATGTTAAGAATTTCCAAAGACAATTTGCTAATAATATTAAATGGTACTTTACTTAATACTAAATAACACTTTAGTAATACTTTCCTTAATATTAAATAATATTTCTAATAGGAAAATGTGATAGAAAAAATGAATGAACCTGGTCTGTCGAATGTTCCCAAAGATTATTATCTTGTATCCTTATGATATAAAATATTAAATAATATCTTAGAATATTTCTGATAGAAAAATGTAACAGAAAAAGTGAATGAGTGGTGAGAATTTCCAAAGACTGTTTCCAAAGACAAATTTGTATTTTTATGTTCATAATATTAAATGATAACACTTTAGTAATACTCTACTTAATATTAAATAATATTTCTAATAGGAAAATGTAACAGAGAAAGTGAATGAATGTTGGAAATTTTCAAAGACTGTTTCCAAAGACAATTTATATTTTTATGTTCATAATATTAAATATTTTACTTTACTTAATATTAAACACTTTGTAATACTTCACTTGACATTAAATAATATTTGTAATACGAAAATGTGGTAGAAAATGAACCTGGCCTGCCGAGAGTTTCCAAAGACTGCCAACTTGTAGATATTTTTATACTGATAACATTAAATGATATTTTAAAATACGACTTCCAATAGGAAAAGAAAAAAACTGCCAACTTATATCTTCACGCTGACGACATTAATGTATTTTAGAATCTAGAATTTTTAAATAAATCAGAAGCCGAATTCTTCAGGTCGATAGTTGCAGCATTCTCAAATATCGATCCTGTCACCATCACTCGAAATTCGAAATAATTTCAGAAGGTAATTACCGCGACACCGGAACTCACGTCACAGTCTCGATTGATTTTAAGAAGCCAATTCGTTGTCTCACGGCACAACGAAACTACCGCGAAATACAGATCGTGGCAAAGAGAACGGCTGCGGGATCGTCCTTCACGTCGCGTAACTTCATTCTAGAAACTTGCCGAAATCCTCTCCGAATATGATGTCACCGTCGGGTAAAGTGAATCGAAGCACAAGCGCGAGAGACATTGAAATAGACGTCTGGCAATGAGGTTGCCGCCGACGTTCCCGATCGGCGAGAAATGGCGGCCCGCGCCGTGTTTACAAGCAGCCGGTTATAAATAATCGCGCGTGAAATCGCGCGGTGGAGATTTTTCCGGTTAGCGGCACGCGATCCTCCGATCTTCCACCGAATGGTTGCTGCTATTTTTCGTTCTCGCTTCCTCGTGCTCACGTGTCTCACACGTCCAAAGGAGGCTCGTTCGATCGAAACGATCTGCAAATCGGAATCGTTGTCGACCGAGCAAATATCGTCGAGGCGAGATCGACGAACGAAAAAACGAAATCGGACGAGAAACCAGGTAGCTTCCTCTCTCACCGAACCGACTTGCCGATTGCGACATTCTAACGGGGCGACGAGCTGCGTTCTGATTTCCATCTCGAAATATCTCGCGAGAGATAGTCGCAGCGACGATTCGATTCGCGCTCGTCGATTCTTGACAAACGGCCAACCGTGTTCAAGTGAACGTCACCGTTGATGAAGCGGAACAACGGAAAAAATTTCGAAGAAATCGCGAATAGTAGAACTCTACTTGATTAGATGAGTCAAATCGGCTTGTGAAAATGTTAGAATGTTATTGTAAAAAAATTTTGTGTGACACAAAGCGGTATTCCA